CCGCTGAAGGTCACGGTCTCTTCTCCGGTTCACCCAGGGCGTGAGGCGGTGCTGCCTGCGCTTTGGAAACCTCTCGGTCCCGGTCCGGGGCAGCSGAGCGCAGGCGGTGAGTGCTGGAGAAAGGGGAGATAATGCTCTTCCCTTTTGTCCTGGAAAGAAACGTCCCCGCGGAGCCCAGCGCGGCTCTGAGCCCGCGTCCTCTCTCTGGTTCAGCTGCTTGCTGTTAATTTGCACATAGGAGGTGTTTTCTGCATGGAGTACGCTCGTCAGTCTTTTAACGCGCTGGGCACGGCATCATTGTGCCCCAACGGGCTTTGATAATATGTCCTGAACGTGTTCTCAGGACTTAATGCTTGACTGCAAAGCCAAAACAATATTTTACTTTAAATTCAGCAACTGAGAATGTTTTAACATGGTTTACCAAACTCTAAACCACCATAACAAGAAATGAGGAATTTGTAGSTCATGGTTGAAATCTTCAGACTTGAGGCAAATCCTGCTTAACAGAAAAAGTTAAAATCATCACCTTTTGTGCCGAGACACTCACTCTTCTTTGTTCCATGTTCAGTCACTAGTGCTTTCCAAAAAAAAAAAAAAAAGTTGATGTGAATCCTCCTGTCACTGCTGCTGATGGCTCCCCCCCTGCTCCCCAGCTGTCTCCTCGAAATGATCACTTCTACTCTCACACTTCTCACACTTCAGACTTGTGCATTGCTTATCATGCTGGCCTGTCTATTGCCTGTCTTCTGGACTGCCTTTCTCTTGGCACCTTAAATTCCTCCTGTGACAGTGTGATTTTAACACCTTCATTCAGAATTTTCTCCTTGRCTGCTAAATGTTAATATATGCTGCTATAGGAGAAAGTGTTTAAGTGAAAAGGAGATTTTCTTGTTAAACTCTGTTCAGTATTTGTAATTTAGAATGCTAGCAAGTGTTGCTAGTCTTGTGCCTGCCTGTGGACTGTCTGCTTTCTATTACCATTTACATTAGCTTCCATTTGCATTTAAGTTGGTTGATACAATTCTTGTTAAATAATAGATTCCTTAGTTTAAATATGAGTAATATTTTCACAAGTTACACTTTGAAGATTAGGATTTTCTTTCTGGAATTTCAAATAGCACCAAGGTCTGAACACRTAATCTCCAGCACAGCAGTGAAGCATTGTGGCCGTGATGAGYTTTGTCAATTTTACTTGAGGTGATTTTGGGAAAATTGAGAAGCTTTTGGGTATTCGGGGAAGCACAGTGTTTCTCTTTTAGCATACATTGRAAGACAATTATTTCTAATGATTTTTGGTGCAATGGTTTGAATTCTGATAAAACATGAATACTCTTGAATCACAAAATCAAATAGTTTGGAAAAGGCCTTARAGATCATCAGGTCCAACCAATGACCTAACACTGCCTTGTCAACCAGACCATGGCACCAAGTGCCACTTCCAGTCTTTTCTTAAACACCTCCAGGGATGGTGACTCCACCACCTCTCTTGTGCAGCCCATTCCAATACCCAACCACTCTTTCTGTGAAGAACTTCTCCCTTTTAAAGACTGTGGAAACCAGATTGTCTAACCTTGTAGAAAGATGTCCCTGTAAAGTGCAGAAGAGCGGTTGGTACCAAGACTTCCCCTGCYGCTTCCTGGATTACAGTCTGTGCTTTTATTCTCCTTTACATTCTGTGCATTTTTAAAATATGCTCCAGCCACCTCTCTTTCTCCTAGCAGTGACTTTCAGCCATCTGTATTTCTCTCTTCTGTTTACAACTGTAGATTCCACAACCCACAGTTGATGTTACCTTGACTGCCACTTTATATATATATATATATATATAAGCTTTGTATCTTACCTGCATTTGTCTTCATTGGAAAGAATTTGGCCTGTTCAGAATTTAGTTTTTCAAAAATTTTATTTATAGGAATATTCTCTTTTATAGCACTCTTTCCTCGTTTACTAATTTGATTTAATGAACAAAGCCCTGTGATTGTTTTTGRATTTTATTAAAATGACGTTCAAGACACATGCTCAATGATTCACCACTTGAGTCCAAAGTAGGACGTTTGTATTAGGTGGATCAGTTTTTAAAATGACAGCATCTGCTTGCTTGTATACATTTATTTATGATTCTTCCCCAGGCGAGTGTAGCAGGAGTCTGGTGAGTAATAGCCAGCTGTTGGAATTAGCAGATAGAGAAAGCAGTTATTTGTTCTGTGAGGAAGTGTGAGAGCTGAGGCCAGRAGTAATAAAAACTGAACAGATGCCCCAAATATATAAACACAAGTCATGACATGTAAATTGTAGTGCCAATTGTTGAACTCATGTCAGATGGGTTACCTTATCTGGAGTTCTTATTAAAGATGAAACCTTCTCCAGTGCAACTTCATGTCTAGCAAACCAGAGCACAACAAGTAACTGAAGATTTTCCTTCTCAGGACTCCAGGTTGCTGCTCAGCTGCTCAGGAATGCCATGTCCCTTTTGGCAGCCTGGCACTTTGGAATTTACACCCTCCTTAAAGGGAAGATGCCAAGAAGATGGAGCCAGGCTCTTCTSAGYGATGCCCAGYGATAGGACAAAAGGCAACRTGCAGAAACYGATGCACAGGAATTTCCACTGACCATGAGGAAGAACTTCTTCATTGTGTGGGGGGCATGCACTGAATAGGTTGCCTGGAAGGCGTATGGAAAGTCCCTCACTGGAGATATTCCAGAATGATCTGGACACAATCCCGGGCCATATRCTCTGGGATGACCCTRCYTGAKCAGGGAGGTTGGACCAGAYGACCCATCTGTGGTCCCTTCCAACCTGAACCATTCTGTAATTGTGTACCAGGGGAGGTGATCTGTTTCCAGGGCTTTCTGAATGTGCAGGCATGTGCCTTCACTGGCTATCACAGCAGGTAAGTGCCTGGCAGCAGTGGCAGTGGCCAGGAGCAGGGACAGGCTGCTAATGCTGCTGCCCTGCTACCCATCTTTAGGCTTCTGGGAGTGGTTAACTGATACCTTCCATGAGCAATATACTCATTTAACATCACCCCTGTGCCTCCACACCCCTGCCAAAAAAAAAAAAAAAAAACAGGTAAAAAAAAAAGAGAATGGAACCTAAGATGCCCTCTGGCACTTAGATAGGAATATAAATTGATGACTATGATGTGAAAGCCGTAGCTGGATCTAATTTTCCTTTACAGGGAATGGTTGTTTCCTCTTCTGCAAGAACAAAATTGTGAATACGTAAGACTTTAAAGATTTTGAATGTCTTTCCTGGTTGCTTTTTCTGTTTCTTTKAACAGGTGATGAATGATTCTGATTAAAATATGTACAGAATTAATTGTTAAACATCATTTTCCTCAGATGAGCAAGGTCTTCCTGATTGAGAGTAACACAGCCATGCATTTTGATGGTATCTTGGAGTTGAGTGTAATTGTGCGGCGACAGCGTAATGACGGATATGTCTTTATCAACCTGTTCCCTGCACTGTGTTTTTATCAC